TACTATACATTCAAGCACGACGTAATATTACGTCAGTGGCGATCAACTCTTAGATTTAAAAATAAGCTAATATTATGTCAACTGGTGCCATAAAACGACGTCAGGGGCACCTAGCTATGGATTCAAGAGACACGTCCAGCCTGTAAACATTCTAAGGAAATTCCGAGTGGAAATGGAGTTGGGATTAGAATTAGTTGCGTCGAGCGACGATTTTATTCGTCACGGCGGGTTTCGAGGTTCGCGCGAGTCTTAAATTGGCCCCGACAGCCAGGTTGTAAGAAATAGTCCTGCTAGACTGCAGCCAGCTGTATAATTAGCGACTGGCCGCGATAGCAGTTACGAGGCTGGCACGCATAAACGCGACGGACACGCGAGATCGTGCGGGCTTAGGTGTTTACCATTTCACAAGTGGCCGCGCACCTCGAAGACTCTTATCAGGAGCGAAAGTTGCACGCCTTGGGGTGCATTACACCTTCGTAGGAAATTGCACTCCATACAATAGCGACTGGTGTTTTCATTTTAAACCACGAGACAACGAACAGAAGTTTTGCTATTATTCTCGGGCACAGATGTGTCGACCACGTAAATTTCCGCATGTCTTCCAGAGTCTCTAGCTGTTGAGTAATCCATCGACAGACTAATCCGAGCTGCGGGCAATCATTGTTTACGGTAGATTAGTTGAGATATGATTCAACTAACAAACATCGATAAAGGCGGTAAACTCGAAGCGAAAAACAAGCCACTCGAAGCGATAATACTCGACTTATCATTATGCACTCGCGGGGGAACCTGATTACTCCACTGATTGAAATCAAATAGAAAGCTCACAAAGCCTTTAAGACTACCTCAAGTCCTCATGTCTAATCGATCAATAAGTGGAAAATTACAATCACCTGGTGATCATGCTTACAAGATAAAAGTGCACAACATAATAACAAACAAAGTCGTTATCAACCCAGGCGAAGAAAGCAGTGATTCCATATTTCCACTGCTTATCCGATTTTTATAGTTTAGATACGTCTTATAAAGACATCTCGCGCAGCATTGTATACTGCAGTAGTTTTGATGGAATTGTCAAGAGTTTCAAAGACGTTTCAACAATTCTCATAGTTAGTTTCGATAGAAGCATGATTCGATTAGCGGTGCTCGCATGCGTGCTGGGCGTTGCGCTCGGCTGCAATGTTTACGTGGCGAACAACAACAACAACAACGCGGAATGGCACAGGAACTCCGTGATCTATCAAATCTATCCTAGGAGTTTCAAAGACAGCAATGGCGACGGCATCGGTGACCTAAACGGCATCACCAGCAGGGTAGGCCTTCTCGCAGAGCTGGGAGTCACAGCCCTCTGGCTCTCCCCCATCTACAAGAGCCCACAGGTCGATTTCGGCTACGATATTTCCAACTTCACGGACATCGACCCAGATTATGGCACCCTGGCGGACTTCGACAAGTTGGTGTCCAGAGCCAAGGCCCTAGGACTCAAGGTAATCCTGGACTTCGTACCCAATCACAGCTCCCACGAGCACCCCTGGTTCAAGAAGAGCGTCCTACGGATCAAACCCTACGACGAGTACTACATTTGGATGAAACCCAAGATGGTGAACGGGGTGAGACACCCGCCGAACAACTGGCTGAGCAACTTCCAAGGCTCCGCCTGGGAGTGGAACGACGTCAGGAAGCAATACTACCTGCACCAGTTCGCGACGGGTCAGCCAGACTTGAACTACCGCAGCCCAGCCTTGAAGCAGGAGATGCAGAACGTGTTGACCTTCTGGATGAAACGCGGAGTGGACGGTTTCCGTATCGACGCGGTCAATTTCATGATCGAGAACTCCAAGTTTCTAGACGAGCCCAAATCGAACGTGTCCGGTGTACCCGCGGACGACTACGACAGCTTGAACCATATCTACACGAGGGACCAGAACGAAACCTACGATATCCTGAAGAGCTGGCGGAAGCTAATGGATGATTTCTCCAACAGGACCAAGTCTGGAGCCAGGTTGATCCTCACGGAAGCCTACACGACGCACGAGCTAACGGTCAAGTATTACGACGCTGGTTCCAACGTTCCTTTCAACTTCATGTTCCTCAATCACGAGATAACCAATACATCCACCGCAGCTAACTATAAGAAATTGATCGACAAGTGGGTGAGCAGCGCCCAGGCGGCGAAAAACGTGCCTAACTGGGTGGTAGGTAATCACGACAACAGCAGAGTCGCCACGAGATTCGGGGTTAAGCGAGCTGACCAGATCACGATGCTGTCGATGATACTACCTGGAGTGGCCGTCGTGTACAACGGTGACGAAATCGGCATGGTTGACAGACACTTCACCTATAAGGAGACTGTGGACCCGGCTGGATGCAACGCTGGACCGAACAGGTACTACTTGAAGTCCAGAGACCCGGAGAGGACACCTTACCAATGGGACGACACCATCAGCGCAGGATTCTCTGATAGATCGCACACCTGGTTGCCTGTCAACAACAACTACAAGACGTTGAATCTGCAAGCTCAGAGAAAGGCGACTCAATCCCATTATACAGTGTTCCAGGCTCTGGTTGAGCTGAAGCAGACGCCCGTCCTAGCTAACGGCACCGTCCAGGTGAGCTTGGTCACCGACAAGGTTCTCGGTGTCGTTCGCAGACAAGGATCGGACGTTGTCGTGCTTCTGATCAATTTGGCAGACAGTCCATCCATCGTAGACGCGAAGGCCAAGTTGAATCTCCCGGCAGAATTGATACTTCACATCGCCAGCATTGGATCCAATCTCCCAGTCGGGACGCGCGTTAACACGACCAAGTTGAATCTACCTGGAGCTGCGTCGGTCGTGTACGCCACTCCGGACGTGGTGAAGGAAAAACGCTGGTGCTTCAAAGTAAAAATTTGCCTTAGATAATTTAGAAGAATCATTTAAGAGTATTCCAAGAATAGATGATTTATAGCTGATATTACGGATAAGCATAAGTTTCAATAAATTTTCTTGTTTCTGGTCAAGCTTTAGCTGCTCATAAAGCCTGGGACTCTCATGCCCTTTTTATTCCTCGTCCACTTCATTTTATACTTTTTATTAAGGAAACGAAATTAAATACTACTTCAATCCTCTCCAGGTGGGAAAACTGTTACAAGAAATATTGAGAAATTAATATATTTACGTTTCGTCTACAATAACATTCGACGATTATTTACCTTGGTGGAAATCGTCTGGTAATTAACGATTCTTGTTGATTTCTAATTAGCAATTATGATTTCGTACTAAAGTCGTTATTATTAAGGAACTTTTAATTAAGCCGTACGATTTTTTCCGCTATGCGAACGCAATTTACGCGACTGCATAATTAAGACGTCCTTCAAATATTAATAAATCTCAGATCGAGTCAGAGGGAATTCTCCGCGGTGAAAAGGATGAATTATTGGCCATAATTTAACGTCGAACTTTCAAACAAGCAACAATCCCGATCAACGTCTTCTGAAAATATAAATCGCTGAGACATGAAACGAATTACAGTTTCGAGATTCTTTAAGGGCGTCCTCGAGTTAATCAGTTTTAAAAGAGGCCGTTTTTCTCAAAACACTGTTTTAAAATTTCCTTAAAAAGGTATTAGAGAAATTGGAGAAAGATAGTGAATATTTACAAAACGATATTCATAAACTGTATCGCGTAATTTCTGTAAACATGAAATTCTTCGGTTTACAAAGGTTTCTCGGGAGGATAGAGCTCCTCTTTCGTCAGCGTGGATCGATGCCCTTATTTTCCGCACGGTTTTTCCTTTGCGCTCGCAATCGAAGGAAAAACGCGCACAGCCAATCCGCAGACCGTTAATTAACCATCTGCTTCCTCGTTTAATGCAACTGAATTATTTAGCACATCGTAGTCGGGCGGCGCTATTTTCCTCGGAAATTCTATGAATTTCCGAATATTCAAAGAATAATTGCACGTTCTCCTTGAGTCACAACATTCTTAAAAAAGTTGCTGTTTACGAAATGAAATATGAATGCAGAATATGGTCGCTCAGATGGAAGAATTAATCTCAGGTTTTTCCATTAAAAGTGCCACGAACAGGTTCTTGTATTTGCATTCATTTCTGTCTTAAGGGAAATCAACTGTGAAACAAACGGACCTTCAAACCGTCGCAAACAGGCTTGACTTAACATCACAGTAGACTTTCTGCAATAATCAATTATCTCCCAAGCTCGAGCAAAGGATTCTATTATTAATTTCGATTCTATAGTTGCTACAGTTACGGTACTGTAAAACAAACGAACCTTCAAACAATTGCAAACAGGCTTGGGCCTAACATCACAGTAAATTTCTGCAACAATCAATTATCTTCCAAGCTCGACCAGAGGATTCGACTCCGAATCTTAATTCTTCAGTTCCAAAGTTTGCAACGACTTCAAATAAATCCTTCCACACGCGTTCAAACATGTCGAAAAAAGAAGAACGTATTCAAACATCATAAAATTTCACGCGTAGTGTTTAAAAATGGTTCAATTTAATGCACAATGAGGACACAGCTGTTACCCACAGACAATCGACGACTTCCATTGTTCCAACTAGCCTCGCAAAGTCTGGCCAATGGCAGCGCTGACCGTAAACCTAGTCTTGAGCGTCACGCGTCAACGGCGTTCCAGGAAATTCAGCGAGCAAGTCGGTAGCCGAGCGAAGAGCATTGTTTGGTCGTTCCAGCAAGACGCAGCGAAGGGTGGGCTCGCATGAAGAGCGTACGCACACGAGTGCTCGCGGAAGTCCTCAAGTTTTCATGCAGACGCTGGCTCGCAGTGCAGCCAGCACACCGGGGCTGCGCCAATCACGTTGAGTGCACATTCTTCAACCTATCCTCCTGTCCCTTGTTCCCGTTATTTCTCTTCCTCTTTCAGACGTCGCCAGAGACACTTGGAAAGGATGCGCTCACAACATCGACTTCATTTGTGTACACACGGCACACGTACCCGTGCTCGAGACCCGCCGAGAATCGACGCAGACGTTTCTCCGTGGCCTCTATTCTTCCAGGAAACTGCTGCCTGGCCCGACGTTTTCGCCCAATGGGATCAATCACGAACTTTTCCACATCCTAACTTGAAAATCCTCGAGATATGTCAGACCCCATTGCGTTTCCAGTTAGAACTGGTACACACCGACGCTGTCAGCGTTCCGATTCTTCTGCATCATCGGCTACTTCGCGATTCGCCAAGGAAATGGTAGGCGCGTTCCATTTTCGATTATAAGTTGTTTCTGCCTCCTGCCGTTGACATCAGTTGTGGGTGTATTCGGGATGTAACTTAATATTTTGTGTAGCTATCGATCCAGGTTCTCGTTAATCTTTTAACAGCGAAGCGAGCATATGTACACCCTCGAATAGTAGACTTAGACAGCTTGACTGACCATGAAAAGTCAACGTATAATTTTCTGAGAATATCTTCTTATAGAGAACGACGAGTCGAATTTTTTCCAATAAAAATTGGAAACTTAAACGATGCTTCGAGCCGCGAGGTGCAAAGCACTATAACTATTTCAATTTTATTATTGAACTGGTTTACCCTGTTCGCCATTTTTCCAGGATAAACGGTGCGTCGTTTCTCGACGATAAGATCAATCACGATTGTGTCTTTGTTCGGCAATTTCTCTCGATAGTGTGCATTTGATGCGGTAAACGATCAGTTCGGATGCTCTGTATCAATCGCGGTGTATCATGTTCTCGCTTATGCTGTGGCGAGATACAGATTGCACTGTGCAGCGAACGAGATGCGGAACGTATCGGACTGGCCGCGATACTATTTGAATATTGACCACCTGGTGCACCGAACGACATAATTATGACGCATCAGGGCTTCATTTGTGTTATTAGTGTGGCCAACCGGAAGATTGATTGCTCATCTTGTCGCTCGAATGTTTAACGACAGATCCGGCACACGGGGAATATTGTTCTATCTACACCAATCGGTATACTGAATGAGAAAGGTGATCACTTTAGGGCAAATATAGCGCAGCAAAATGTTGCTTTTATGGATTGCTAATTAATCATAAGAAGTATAAGTATTTCGCAAAGAATACCAAACAATTCATCGTACTATTGGCTAAGATGGAAGCTAGATTGTGAACATTGTAAGGTTAGGTAAATTCTGCAGAAAATGTGAAAGCTATTTCACTTCCAACCACAGCCAGTACTTGGTTCTCCTGCCGCAGGTCGAATTCCTGCGTACATTCGACCGCAACTGAGTTCTCTATTCCCTAACCTCAAAATTACCCAGAAATATTACACTCGTTACATTTTCAGTTTCAAACACAAGCTTCTCTCTGTTTCCCTCGGTAACATCCTTCTATGTATATAGTACAATTCATTCCCAGGGTGTCCCAGAATTAATGTAAGAACCGGAAATAAGGGGTAGCTGAGACGATTCTGAACAAGAATTTCCTTTGCAAAAATGTCGTATAATGTTTTGTTTTTGAAATATTAACGATAAACCATCGACCAATCACAGCGCTCGAGTAGCCCGCGCTCAGCCGCGAGAGGCTGGCTCGAGTCAGGAGGGTTGGGCCAGCCATTCGGGTCAGCCTCTCGCGGCTGAGCGCGAGCTCCTCGGACGCTGTGATTGGTCGATGGTTTTTCGTTAATAATTCAAAATTGAAGCACCTTCCGAGATTTTTGTAAAGAGAAGTGTGGTTCAGAGTCGGTTCAGGTTTCAGCTACCCTCTGAGAAGACAAAATTCTACCTCGTCCGCCTTCAAGTCATCGAGGTCCGAATCTTATCACTTGAAAGCGTGATAGGTGGTAATGTTTAACTTGAGTTGAGAGAAATTAGTCAGTGGATTGTTCGAGCTGATTAAATAGTATTTCCCAGTCATAGGTAGGCGCAAATGAACCGAATAACGTGTTACACCGCTTTCAAACGACTGTCTCGATTTTATCACTCGAAAGCGGGAACCACCGGCATAACCTGCTTTTACTAACGGAGAGAAATCTGAAAATTTCTGCACGGTATCCCCAAAAATGTTAAACTCTTATCGCTCGCCAACGCCACTGGCTGACTTGCTTTATCCGGACAGCCATTTCTTTCGCCTCCGCGGAGCACATTGAGGCATTTCTCACGCTGTCGCGCACAAAATTCCACCGCGTCCAGGCAGCATCGTAGCCATCCTCGGCGTTCCAGCATCCAGTAATCCGCACCAAATATTTCGACGGGGCGGAAGTCCCCGAGAGCCCAGTCTTATTTGCCGCGTGGTAACTCACAGCCTCTTAATTAATTCGTGGTCTTCCCGTCCCGTAGCTTCCTGGGTCTCTCTCGCTCCCGTTGGCTGGAACCTTTCGACGCCTGTTTCCTTCCTTTCGTACTCGTGGACCGTGAATTTCCGAGAAGAACTCCGCCATTCAAAGACCCCCGCTATCCGCGATGCTATCCGGCCCTTCCCCCCTTTTCTCTTTGCCTTTTAATTCCGTTGCAACGACGGCGGAGTCGCCCGCGTGCAATTTACCGTTCGCGAGCGAAGAGTTTACAAAGGTCGAGCGCGGGGTCTCCGTGAAACAGTAATCCTTCCACGCGTATTCCAATTAATTCGCACAATGCCCCCGGGGAACACCTAGGCGGGGAATCGATTCCCGTAGGGATCGCGCGTAACCCTGGGATGGTTATCGGGCGTCGAACGTTATCTCGTTAGCGTTGGAGGGGTCGCATTATCATAAAATCGAAGCACGTAACGAGCGTGGCAGCGTCGACGGGGTAAAAATAGCTGGACTCACCCCTGCTCGTCGCGCGAGTCCTATTTGCGGCTGACTGTCCTCGGATGCACCAACGGGGTGTCTCGTTCGGCCGACGCGCAGACGGCTGTTCCTGCAACAGTAGATCAAAATTAATTAACGGGGAGGATAGAAGGGGAAATATTGGCAAACAGCGATCAATCTGAGATCCTAGTTGCGCGATGGAAATTTTTACCCAACTACAAGAAATCAAGC